ACTACTACTACTACACTACTACTACACTGCTACTACTACTACTACTACCACTAATAGTTATAACTACTACTACTACTGCTACTACTACGACGACTACTACTACTATTACTACTACGACACGCTACTCACTACTACTACTACTAATACTACTACTACACGCTACTACTACGACTGCTATTTACTACTATTACTACTGCTACTACGACACAACAACTACTGCTACTATACTACTACTACTACTACTACTACAATACTACTACTAGACTACCTACTACCACTACATGCTACTACTACTTCTACTCCTACGACGAACGACGACGACTACTACTTTTTCTTCTTCTACCTACTACAAACTAATACTACTGGAACCACTACTGCTACTACTACTACGACTACTACTACACTAACTACTACTACTACTACTACTACTACTACTACTACTACCTACTACTACTACTACTACTACTACTACTACTACTACTACTACTACTACTACTACTACTTCTACTACTACTACTACGACTACGACTACGACTACTACTACTACTACTACTACTACTACTACTACTACTACTACTACTACTACTACTACTACTACTACTACTACTACTACTACTACTACTACTATACGTACCTACCTACCTACCTACCTGCCTGCCTGCCTGCCTGCCTGTCTGCCTGCCTGCCTGGCTGCCTACCTACCTACCGACCGACCTACCGACCGACCGACCGACCGACCGACCGACCGACCTACCTACCTACTACTACTACTACTACTACTACTACTACTAGTACTAGTACTAGTACTAGTACCTAGTACTACTACTACTACTACTACTACTACTACTACTACTACTACTACTACTACTACTACTACTACTACTACTACTACTACTACTACTACTACTACTACTACTGACTAATACTACTTGCTACTACTACTACTACGGACTACGCTACTACTACTACTACGACTACTACTACTACTACTACTACTACTACTACTACGACTACTACTACTACGACTACTACTACTACTACTACTACTACTACTACTACTACTACTACTACTACTACTACTACGACTACTACTACTACTACTACTACTACTACTACTACTACTACTACTACTACTACTACTACTACTACTAACTACTACTACTACTACTACTACTACTACTACTACTACTACTACTACTACTACTACTACTACTACTACTACTACTACTACTACTACTACTACTACTACTACTACTACTACTACTACTACTACTACTACTACTACTACTACTACTACTACTACTACTACTACTACTACTACTACTACTACTACTACTACTACTACTACTTTTCCTGCCATCCCCCTCCTCGTCCTCTCTCCGGCCCTTTCCTAAAATCATTGCGCCATTGCAACACACCGCCCTCTCTTGGATAACCCCACGGCAGCCGAACAGCAAACACTCGAAGAAAAAAACAGGCGCGAATGTCCGACCCAGCACGCTTCCAGTGTAGCTAGCTCAGCATGTCCAGTGCTCGGTCCTTCCGTTTCCAAAGTTGCGAAACAGCGTTTCCAGAATTGGTGGCGGCTCGGATTTCCAGGGTTGGGTGAACGTTTCTCGGGTAATGGAATTGCACCAGCGGGCGGGACCCTCCTGCGAGAGATGCTGGATCCCTGAGTGGTTTGAGAGCCATGAGCGAGACGCCAGTCGGGAATGATTTTGCATGGCTCTCGAATGGTGCTCTCTGATCGCCTCTTAAACGTCCCGAGAGGGGCCCAGGACCCAGACAAGGGTCCCCATGGTGGTCCACGAGACAGCCGGCAGGCAAGAGGCCCAGAGGAGGCCCCCCGCGGCCCCAAAGAGGCTCCCAGGAGGGCCGACCAAGGCAGCCCCCGCGAGGCCCCAGGAGGATTTTGCCCACAACCCAGGCACGGTGGCGGAGTGAGCTGGACGCGACCAGTGGCTGCTGCAAGCCTTCAAGACGCACGTGTGTATCGCTCAGCCGTTCACACCCCGCGTGACCCGTGGAATCCGCCACCGAGCCCCCGAAGCAACAGATCTCCGCCGGTTCGCTGCATGACGTTCGCATTATCGCCTCCATGACTGCCGTCAGTTCAGGGTTGTCCGAGAACCCCCCAAGATGCCACCAAGACGGCTTAAGAGGCCCCGGTGGGAGATCCCAAGGTAAGGCAGGCGAGGCCCGCGAAGGCCCAAGAAGCATCCAAGACGGAATCCCGTACATGCTCAATCTCAGAAGTGGCGGCCTCCTGCTGCTGCTGCTCCTCCTCCTCAGGCGAACCGCCGTGCCCGCCGCACCAACAGGCCTGGTGGTGCGACGGGGAGAGGACTGCAAGGACGCGGGACGGAGGGGGAGGAGGAGAAGGATGAGACAAAGCGGGGAGGGCAAGGCAGGTGCGCTTGCATCAGATCTGACGTTCCCCGCCCTTCCATACCTGACCATTGCGTAGGGCCCCTCTCTATTAGCAGTCGGATGTCGAAGAGGACAACGATCCCCAACGATCCCCAGAGGGTACACGATGCATAGTATACAATAACATCGGGTAACCAAGCATTGCATCAGGTGGCATTGCAGCGAAAGGCATGGCATCGCATAGCGGCACATCAGATAGCATCGCATGTCATGGCACTGCGTAGCCCAACGTTGCATACCATAACGTTGCAAACCAGAACATGTAATCGCACACTAGCGGTACATAACATAGTAATGACTTGCATGGCTGCGTGAACGGTGCAGCCGGAAAACCATGCTGGAGGACCGACAAGTTGGAGATCAGACCTGTGCTGCAACGGGAGCACCATCCATCAGGACCGACAACAGGACCGAAAACACAGAAATGAGGTAAACGCTGCAGCGGGAGCACCATTCGGAAATACCGAAAACGCAGATATGAGACCAACGCTGCAGCGGGAACACCATTCGGAGGGCTGGAAACGCGGAAATGAGACCAGCGCTGCAGAGAGAGCCCGATGTTGAACTATCAAGCGCGGAAATGACGCCAACGCTGCAGCGAGAACAACACGATTTCGAAGGTCCGAAATCGATCGGATCAGAAAAACACTTAAGACGACACAGCTCTTGAAGTCCTGTGAAAATCCGATGCGCAGAGAGTGCGGGACGCCTTCGTGCAATTGTGATGGAGGAGGAGGAGGAGGAGGAGGAGGAGGAGGAGGAGGGGGCGGGAGCATGGTGAGCATGGTGAGTTAGTGCACGCACGTGCCGCTACATCGGCGGGGGAGGGGCGGGGGAGGGCGGGGGCGCGCCTGATGAAGTCGACGGAGTCCGCCGACGCGGGGCGGCGGCGGGGCGGCGGCGGGCGGGGGCGCTCTCCCTCCTCGCCCTCGCACTCACCCTGCCGACCGCCCCAGCCGCCGCGACCGAGGGCGCCGCCCCCGACCCCTTACCCCAAGCCACGTTCTCGACTCCTCCGATCCTCCCCACGCCCACAGGCGGGGTACATGGGGGCACACTCAAACTCAGGGCGACAAACGAATTCACGCGAATCGCCCACGGGTGGGGGTTCCGAGTCAGGAGCCACGGGAAGAGTAGCAAACCTGGTATACTCGTCCAAGGGGACGTGCACTGGCTCAACAACAGCGGGCCGAGGGGCAGCCTGGGCTCTCGCAGAGTGAGCATGGGTCCCAGCGACCACGAGCGAAGAGGGGGGCCCACGATACGACGGGCAAAGGCCCTTCGCCAGGCGGCTCAAATTCTCTCTCCCCTTGCGGGTGGGGGGGGGGGGGGGGCGCACGGGTTGGCCAGGTTGCGCCCGTCAACCGCCGCCGCGAACCCGCACGCAGCACAGAACTTGAAACCGTGTCGGGACCACTCCCGAAGAGCATGGGAAGGATGCAGGGCCACGCCTCCAACCTCGGACGCCCCGCTCACCGCCAGAAATCCATCACCGAGGAAGCGCTCACTGTGGGCCGAGGCGGAGGAAGGGGGAACAAGCCCAGCAGCCGAAGGGCAAAACGTGGCCGCGAACTCCAGGAGCTTCGTCCGTGGCACAACCTGCAAACAGCCAGAGCACATCCAACGATTGCTGCACTGCGACAGGCGGTGCGACGAGGAGTCCAAGGCCCTGGCCAGGGCCTAGGCGCCCTGGGGCCGAATCCGGGAGCCGCCTCAACGCTATCAATCAGAGCGCGCCGAGCTCTTCTGCGCACGCCCCATCGATCCGCAAGCGGAATCGGGTGTCTGACAGACGTGTCCCACCCCCTCCTCGCCGCCCACCCCGCCCAGACATCAGCGCGCGCATTGCCGTGAGAGAGGAAGGCTTGAACTGGGAGGTGATACGCTCAGGCTCAGCTTCAAGGTGGGAAGCGGTCCAGACAACATCCACGGGCCCAGGGCCGCGATTTTTGGCAGCCTGCCGCGCCTTAACCCAAAGGTCCGCATTGCGGCCAAAAGGACGTGCAGCACGGGCCGACCTCCAGCCATCAACCACAGGCTTACAATCGCAAACGTAAACAATATCACCAGACGAATTCTCGAGACCCAAGGCCAGTGCAAGCAGCTCTGATCGGGGCGCAGTCTGACGTCGTCCAGGGAGACAGGCAGCCACGCCGCAGACGGGGGGCCACATAGCGCCAGAAGGACCCCCGTCCAAGGCGCGACGCATGACCACCACAGCTGCTCCGCAGCGTCTCCGACTTTCGTCTGAGCTGTGCTCACCCCCTGAACCATCCCCAAACAAGTAAAGGGGGGTGCCCCGCAGGGGCCGAGAGCTCCTTCAGCAAGCACTGGCCGAGGAAAATGGGGTCCGAAAAGCCGGGTCCCTCCTGGAAACGAGGCACAGTGAGACTGGTCGAGGGCACGCCCCTCAGCCACAAGGATGGGTCCGAATCTGCATTCGCCAACGCCTGGGGGATGAGCGCATCAGTGGATGCGTAATCAGAATGAGAGCAATTGTTTGATCACTCCCAGATGCGGTGGCGCAGCGTCTCTGGGGCAGCTCTGCATCGAGGACACAGGCGATCGACCTGGCACCCTGCCTCGTGCTGCCCCTGCTGCGCCCACTCGCCTCCTGCTGTCGCCGAGACCGTCGCGCCCCGCAGTTCCATGGCGCCCGTCTTGGCGACCGCGTCCAATTCGCGCTGTATCCCATGCAGATCTGCTCCGCCAGCGAGCTGTTCACCATCGGGATGCTTGGCAGCCAACCGCCAGGCGGCAGCGCGGCAGTCGCGCCCAAAGTCCGCCAAGAGCTCGCTGAAATCCCCCAAGACGGCGTCGCTGTAGCCCGCCTCGCCGAAAGAGAGGAACGCGTAGTCCCCCGGCCCCTTCAGCGCCTGCACGACGCCAACGGGTGGCTTCCAAGGGCTCCCAGCCAACCTGCATCAAGGTAGCTTGGGGGGCAGCAATGGGCCCACGGACTCCCCGCCAGCGGACGCGATCACCCAGTCCAGCACGAACGCGAGGCCAGACACGAGCAATGCGTACATGCAAGTATGGGTGCGCAACCCACATCCAAAACCATTCAGTAAGAACGTCACGTCGAAGCTGCAAGGAGGGGTCGCTTGAGCCAAGAGTAGCCTGCAAGACAGTCTGCAAGCAGCAGCCCCTCTTCTGGCCAGCGATCGAGACCGATGTTTGCCTGCGCAACTTAGTCAGCAATGAGGGCGGCACTCCATGAGCTTGATGGCCATAAGTAGCAGAAGGTAGCACCCCATGCCCTCCAGAGGCCACGCGCCACCCCGTGGCTTCCAGCAAGCCGCCGCAGCTCCTGGATCCCGCCCTGGCGCGCAGAAGCCCCAGCCACCCGAGAACGAAACTTAGGTCCAGCCCGACGTCGAGCCCCCGCAGCGTCAACTCCCATATCGACAGCGAACAGGGCGTGGGTGACGGGAATGCACATGCTCTTCAGGGAGGTAACCAGAGACGAGCCCAGCGCATCATCGCTGGCAACCAACTTAGTCTTGTCGGATATCGTCAGACGGTTGTCCTTGAACGACTGAGCCAGGGACTGAGCGGCCGACTTCATATCTCCAATCACCGTGGCTCGAGCACCCTCCGTCCTGCAGACAGCGTCGTCAATGAAGGTCCACAGCCCTGCGCGTGGGCGCACCGCGTGGGCCCCCTGAAGAAGGCCGCGCAGCGTAACCTTGGCCATGCCCACCCCACGCAGGGGAGCCAGCGACAATGGACTTGCCAGGCTCCAGGGCAGAGCTGACCAAGACGCACTGCTTGATGAGGCGAGGTGCTGCATACATGCCAACCTCCAGGACAGTGGTGATGGCAGGATAATGAAGAGAACGACTAGCCTTCATCAACAGCACGAAACTGATCGAGTCATAGAACTTCTGCAAATCGAGAAAGAGCGTGGCGTATGAAACGCCAAGCTCGCGAGCGCATTCGTCCAAGGTGGCCCTAGCCAGCGCCGCGCGCAAGGCTAGGGACCCCGCAATCGCCGTATCCCAGACGGCCCCCTGCTTTTCCGTCCAAGAGTAAGACGGCGCTGAGCGCATCTTGCTCCACAGCTTGGCCGTGTGGAGCATCAGACCAAGAACTCGGTGGCCACCCGCCTCCTTTGGAATGGAAGCGCCGAGCACCGCCATGAGCTCTTCAGGCCACACTCCTGAACGTTCAATATCATTCAAGAGGTCCACCAGCGCACGGCGTCCAACATCTGGAAGTCGCAGCGTATCGTTCGGTCCTAGCGCATCAACTCCCTGAGCCTTACTCGATGGCATGGCCCGCAGGGTGGAGGTGAGCTGGTCAAGCTCAAAGGGCGGCAACGCTTCCTCCAAGGCATCTGAGTGCAACTGGTCCAGCCAGAGTGGAGGTCCTCTTGCGTGTCCACCTGCTCGCGCCAGATCCCAGACCAATGTTGGCGCTTGCCCTCCAACAGGAGCTGAGGGTGGCTGGTGGGACAGCCGTCGGGGCCAGCACCCTCCCATTCAGGTGGAGGATCTGGCTTGACATGACGATGCACTAAGCCTGGCTTGACGCGCCACTTCTCGCGCACCCAAGCCATGAAGCTAGCCCTGGAGGCCGTCATTGCCCGTGACGGGGCCCAGTCCGACCAGCGCTGCGCCAACTGCACGAAAGGGTCCAACGCGCCATCCTCCAGCTCCTCCAGGATGTCAGCATCCGCAACCCACGCCTCAGCCAACGCAAGCGTGGTCTTCTTGCCGAAGTAGGCGTCCTTCTGCTGCAGATCCAAACTCTGCAGATGCCGCCGAAGTTGGGACAGACAGTCACTGGCCTGGCTGGGATCAACACCGTTGCGAGCGAGAGCGCGATAACGAACCAGAAGAGTCGTGGTGATGCCCCACCACTGTGCAAAGCTGTTCTTCATGTGGGTGCGTCCAGGAGTGACACGAAAACGAGACCACTTCACCACAGGTCCAGCAGCACGACCCACACGAGCACGTCGAGCTGTTGCGTCCAGGCCCTCAGTGGCCAGGATGGCCTGCTCCAAGGTCGAGACCCAGCAGACATACTCATCCGAAATCCGCTCACGCTCTTTAGTACGCCACTGCA